TCGTTCCCCCGCCCCAGATTCGCCCACCCAGGAGCGGGAGGAGCTGTTTATCCAGAAGCTACGCCAGTGCTGCGTCCTCTTTGACTTTGTCTCAGATCCGCTCAGTGACCTCAAATTCAAGGAGGTGAAGCGGGCAGGACTCAACGAAATGGTGGAGTACATCACTCATAGCCGCGATGTCGTCACTGAGGCCATTTACCCCGAGGCGGTCACCATGGTGGGCACTGGGCAAAGGGGAGAGTGGGCAGGGACAGCGGCTGTGGAGAAGCCTGGACGGGAGCTCTCACCTGGGTCCTACCCCTCAGTTTTCAGTGAACCTCTTCCGGACGCTGCCACCTTCATCGAACCCCACCGGGGCCGAGTTTGACCCGGAAGAGGATGAGCCCACCCTGGAAGCTGCCTGGCCGCATCTGCAGGTATCAGGGTGAGGGGGCAGGCTGGCCCTGGCTGCAGGGAATGGGGCGCTCGGAGGCCTGCAGCCAGGGTGGGGGGATCTCCCAGTCCTTGGGGAACGCCCCCTAAGCGGATGCTCATTGCCCCCGACAGCTCGTGTATGAGTTCTTCTTACGTTTCCTTGAGTCTCCTGATTTCCAGCCAAACATAGCCAAGAAGTATATCGACCAGAAGTTTGTCCTTGCTGTGAGTCCTTGAAGTTCCCATCCTGCCCTCCTTCCAGTCCATGAACTCTAGCCCCATGGCCCCTCGCTGCAGGCCCCGCTCTTTCTGCATCTGCTGAATATATGGGCTTTCAACTGGGTCTGGTACAAAGGGACTGGTGGTGGTGGGAGGGATAAACAAACCTCTCTGCTCTCAAGAAGCTTCTGGTGTAATTGAAGGAAATAAGCAACAGTTACCTGTTCCCCGGCAGTGGGGCACGTAAACATGCGTACCCAGACATCACCCTGGGGAGAGCTGTGTGAGAACAGCACTCTGCTTTCCAGAGATTTGTCCCCACACGCCCCATCCAGAGAATCTCTGGGTGTCCGCTGGCTAGGACCCTGTGTCACCCCAGCCCTGGCCCTCCCTGGCTCCTGCCTCACTCACCAGCTTTCCCCTCGCCGGCTCCCAGCTCTTGGACCTGTTTGACAGTGAGGATCCTCGAGAGCGGGACTTCCTCAAGACCATCTTGCATCGCATCTATGGCAAGTTTTTGGGGCTCCGGGCTTATATCCGTAGGCAGATCAACCACATCTTCTACAGGTGAGGCCAGGAGCCAGGCTTAGGAGCAAAGCAAGCCCTGCTAAGTTGGGGTGGGAGCAGGGGGATAGGGGTACTCTGCAGAGTGCTGCAGGGACATCAGGGATTGTCAGGAGAGCCTTTCTTTCTTCCCGCAGATTCATCTATGAGACAGAACATCACAACGGGATTGCCGAGCTCCTAGAGATCCTTGGCAGGTGAGAGATGGGGTTGGGGCATGCGTGCCTGTAGAAGGCTGGAGGCATTGGAGCACTGAACTTGGACGTGGCCCTTTGGTCCTAACAAACCTCCTATAACTCCTAGCATCATCAATGGCTTTGCCTTGCCCCTTAAGGAAGAGCACAAGATGTTCCTCATCCGTGTCCTGCTTCCCCTTCACAAGGTCAAGTCCCTGAGTGTCTACCACCCTCAGGTGAGCTGTCTTCCTCCTGACGATCCCTGACTCTGGCAGCAGAGAAAAGAGAGGGAGGGGAAGGTATTCCAGCAGGGATGGGGGTGGCAGAAGGAGTGGGTGGGATAATTCCTCTTTACACCTCTTCTTCCATTCTGGGCTCTTGCTTCTGTCCCTGACCCCTCTGAGACCTGGGCCCTGCACCTCACCTCCTTTCTCCCTCAACCTTTTGCAGCTGGCTTACTGTGTGGTACAGTTCCTGGAGAAGGAGAGCAGCCTCACAGAGCCGGTAATTCCCCTCTCCAGCCCCAGGACACCTCTTCTTGTCAATTAGACTCGCCAGTCTGCCTATTGAGGAATGCCATAAGCAGGGGCTCACGAGGGGTGTGGCCCAACAGGTGACATGCTTTCCTCTCTGAAGGAGGAGTACAACCTATATATACCTAGGAAACAGATCCAGGTCAGAGAAAAATGTGAGCAGTTGAGGGGGTGGGGGGGCGGTGCCCAAGCTGTGCCCACCAGGGTGGGGAGAGAGTGCAGGAAGACTTCCGGCAGAAGCAGGCAGGTGTTAAGGGAGAATTTTATCCCCATGTCCTCCTCTTCTCACAGGTGATTGTAGGACTTCTCAAGTTCTGGCCCAAGACCCACAGCCCCAAGGAAGTCATGTTCCTGAATGAGCTAGAGGAGATTCTGGATGTCATTGAACCTTCAGAGTTCAGCAAAGTGATGGAACCACTCTTCCGCCAGCTTGCCAAGTGTGTCTCCAGCCCCCATTTCCAGGTGAGACTCAGACCAGCACATCCCCATCCCCTGCCTTCCAGAAGCCAAGGGAGGGTTTTCAGCAGAGCACACCGGATCCCTGCTGAGTCCCACCTGTCCCCACCAGGTGGCAGAGCGTGCCCTCTATTACTGGAACAATGAGTACATCATGAGCCTGATAAGTGACAATGCTGCCCGAGTCCTCCCCATCATGTTCCCCGCCCTCTACAGGAACTCCAAGAGCCACTGGAACAAGTACGGGGCTGGGGCAGGGCTGGGCAGCGGGGCTCTGGTTTTGGAGCCTGTGTGGGTGGGGAAAAACTGAAGAGCCAGTGGCCTCATCTGGTCACCGGGCAGGGGGTCTCGTGCCCACTGCATGCTGATAGGCCCTTGAGGACCTGCCCAGGGAGAAGACAGCTATGTGAGAGAGGGCTGCCATACAGCAGAGCAGGGCTCGTGTCCTCTCTTCTTACGGTCAGATAGTCTGCGGCTTTGGAGACCTAATTCCGTGCTCTGGAGAGGCCGATGTGATCTTTTTAGCATGTGCCGAACCCCAGTGTTGTAGAGGCTTTCCTGCTGAAGGCAAGTGCACTGTGCTGCAGATGCCGTCCATCCTGCTGCTGGCAGGCCGGTAGCATAGGCCAGAGAGCAGAAGTGGTGGGAAGAAGGCAGGTCTGGAGCATGGGGTGAGGCGAAGGGTGGACAGGCAGACTAACAGCTATGAAGACCCTGAAAGGCCGGTCTGCAGTCACAGGATCTGGCTAGAGAGAGATGCTTACACTGCAGAGGTCTGTGAAAACTCTTAGCAGACAGCCCTCCTAGGAAAGAGCAAACTGGGGTCCTGGCACTGCCCTTGGTGTCGGGAAGGCCTCCTACAGCCGATCCTTCTTCCCGGCGGCAGGACAATCCATGGACTGATCTACAATGCGCTGAAGCTGTTTATGGAGATGAATCAGAAGCTATTTGATGACTGCACACAACAGTACAAGGCAGAGAAACAGAAGTGAGTGTCTCTCTACCCGGGGGCTTCCATCTTCATCCCCGGGCCCTTTTGCTTCTCTCTCAAGCCCACCCCCCATCCCGTCCTTGCTCTCTCAGGGGCCGGTTCCGAATGAAGGAAAGAGAAGAGATGTGGCAAAAGATAGAGGAGCTGGCCCGACTTAATCCCCAGGTGAGGTTTTGCTGCCACCGCCCTCAACCAGGGGCCCAATTTGGCCGAGGGAGGGTTTGTTTGAGCAGGAACATGAAGCAGACAGGCCCACCAACTTCTGAAGTGGCTCTCACCACCTGCCCATGCCTCTCCTTTCCTTATCAGTACCCCATGTTTCGAGCTCCTCCACCACTGCCTCCTGTATACTCGATGGAGACGGAGACCCCCACGGCAGAGGACATCCAGCTTCTGAAGAGGACGGTGGAGACAGAGGCCGTGCAGGTGGGAAGGCACGGAGGGATGGGGAGCAGAAATAAAAGCTCTGGAAGGGAGAGGAGACAGGAGCCCAGGAACAAGGGGAGGAAACCATAGAATCTGTTGGGAATTGGTCAGCATCCCTCACCTTCTCTTTACCCACACACAGATGCTAAAGGACATCAAGAAGGAGAAGGTGCTCCTTCGGCGGAAGTCAGAGCTGCCCCAGGACGTGTACACCATCAAGGCGCTGGAGGCACACAAGCGGGCGGAGGAATTCCTAACTGCCAGCCAGGAGGCTCTCTGACCCCCTCACCGTCCTACTACAGGGCCACGGCCCACTCAGCCCTGGGACGCTGCCCTAGCCCTCCACCCTCTGCTCCCCACTGGCTGACTTGGGGCAAGGCAGTGCCTCTCTAGCTACTCTAGGGAGGGGATGTGGCACTTGAAGCGGGGACCCTCACACAGTGGTCCCTCTTCTCCCCCAAATGTGTTCATGCCTCCCTGTGGCTAGTACAGACAGGCTGAGCACTGAGATCCTCAGTACTCAGACAACTTGGGGATGCCTGTCTCCCTCCTGCTCCCAACCCCACAGCTACCTGAGGCTGCTCTGAGAAATACACACAGGAATACATATGCTCCTCTCCCCTTCCCTTCACCCTCATTTGAACTCCAGGTGTCTCTCCTTCTCTCCCTCCCCTGCAGAAGCATATAGGGAGCAGTAGGAGGTTACTCTCACCAAAGTTATGTCAAGCCCCATTGGCCCCTGGAGTAGCTGGAGGGGAGCCAACCCCCAACAGGCACAAATAGGCCCCCGGCCCCAGTAGTGTGCAGGCTGATGGGGTTGAATTACTTTCTTTTACCCCCTGCCTGACCAAGACAACATGGGAGGTCAAAAGGAGAAAAGCATAGGCTATGGACCATAGGTGATGAATATAGGGCCCAGATGGACCAAGAGAAGGGGGTGAACAAACACCCTACCCTGTGCCCCCTCTATGGTGAGCAGCAGCCCTGGGATTACAGACATGGAAGGGACCACCCTGGGGTTGACTGCTTTCCTGTGCTGTTGGTTCCCAAAGCTAGGAGGAAGCAGGGAGCAGTGCCCCAAGCATGGCTCCCCGAACACCTATTTATTTCCTTGTTTATGCTGATGATGGGCAGGCCCCCACTTGTCCCTTTCGGACACCTTGGAGGGGCAAGGGGCTGAGGAGGGCCAGACCCAGGTCCCAGGGGCCCAGGCAGTGCAGCTTTTGGCTGTGTACATAGGGTGCTTTATTCTCCACAGAGTGATACATGCTAAGATGGGCTGGGCTTGGGCCGATGTCCCCATATGTACAGAACTGAATAAAGTGGGTCTCTGAGAAGAAGTCTGATTTGCCTTGATGTGGAAAGGGAGATGAGAAAGATGGAGATGGACGTTACAACCACGGCTATGTTCAGTCCTGTGCTGGTTCTGGCCTGGAATGCAGGGAGATAAGGCAGCTCTCAGGCTAGTTACTTCCAGGCTGGGGTACCCTGCCGGGCTTGAAGGGCCTTCTGTACCACATCTTCCCACTGGGCATCTGATATCTCCCGAGCCCAGGCAGGAACCCCTGGCGCAGGCAGGCTTACTCCAGCCATCGTCCTTTTCACCAGCTCCACATGTTCTGAAATCACAGAGAACAGGGGATAGAAACTGCGGGACCAGCTTTGCTCCCATAACCCTTGAATGAGGGGCTGAAGGTGGACCTAATTTCCTTGAATTAACCCATAACCCTTGGGCTAGAAGGGTGACCAAATCCATCTTGTTATTTCCAGGCAAGCCTGCCCATCACCCAAGTCTAGCACAATAGCATTTCACCTGGATTCTTAAGTGTGTAAAATCTTGGAATACAAACTGCTGTTTTAGGAACAGGGTGTTCCTCCGTGACTCCCCTTTACTGGGTCTGACCAGTCCCTTTCCTCCATCATTATTCCAGAATGAAAAAATGCTCTCTTTACCCGGGTCCATGGGAATAGAGCTGTGATTGCTCAATCCTGTAGCTCCCTCCTCCTCTTCATCCTCGCTCTCTAATGGTGGGTCTGGCAAATGAAGCCCCAGGGCCTGCAGAGCCAGAGAAGACAGTTCAGGGCCAGCCCTTCAGAGATCCCAGCTTCACCTGGCCAGAACAGTGCCTCCTCCACCATACCTGGATCCGATCCTGAATATCAGCAACTACATCTTCTCCGTCCCCCACCGGTGCTAGCTCCACCTCCTCTTGTTCAGGATCTTGGTTCAGGGGCTGATAGGAGTAGCCAGCTGGGCCTGCCCCCGTTTCCTCCTGCTCTTCCTCAGGCTCCTCGCTGCTCCAATCCCCAGTGCCTTCCGTAGGGCCCTGGTGCGGCCCTAGTTCCTCAGTCTGATTGGGGAAGATACGCTCGGGGCCCATGGTGTCTCCCCCTAGAACTACTGCTGCCATCCGGGCAGGGGCTGCAAGGACAGGGAGGCAGGAGGACAGGGATCGGATGAAATTAGGTCCACCTTCAGCCCCTCATCCAGTTCCTTGTGGTCTCCTGGGTCCGCAAAACATTCAAACGCTCCCAAGCTTCCTGCACCCCACCCTCTCCCGGGCCCTCCACCTTTTAAATCGACTCATATCTTGAACCGAGGCCCACCCGACTTGCTCTGCCAACTCTTAAATAACAGCCCGAACGGAGTCCACGCCACCTCCCAAAAGACTACGTCCAGAACCCCGCCCTCTCCTACCCCCCGACTTGGGAACGCCGGGTCGCCAAACAAGCTCCCCTAGACAGGGAGCGCCCACCCCCTTCTCCCCTCTCCAACGGGTTCCCTTCTGTACCGCCTGACAAACGCCCTTTAGGTCCCAGGGGCTCCCCTCAAATGGCCCCAGCTGCGGCGTCCGCCCCCCGCCCCCACCGATTCTCGGCGCCGGTGTTTCCTCGCGCCTCACCCGCTCGGAGCCCGCGGCTGAACCCACACCTTCACTTCCGGCGGGGCAGGACGTACTCGGGCGCCTGGTCCTCCCGCCCCGCCCCGTGCTCATGATTGACGCGAACGAGGACGAGCAGTACGCCCCTTGTCCCGCCTCCGCTATCCCCAGCCCAGACAACAAAGGACTACATTACCCAGTGACCCCCACGGGTTTTCACACACACACACACGCGCGCGCGCGCGCGCGCGCGCGCGCACAATCTCCTTCGGCTCCTGCCCACTCCTCGGCCCCTCACGACTCTCCAGAAACCCGTGGACTACAAGTCCCGGTAGGCTTCGGGCACTTAGCTCTGACTGCACGTGCGCACACGGCTGCCCGCCGGAAGGACCGAGCCTGGCTGTGTTTATCTCGTTGGGGACCGAGGTGTCGGTTGGCGCGCAACGGGTTCTAGACTGCAGGCAGCGCGAGGACCCGCGGCCCCGCCCCGGCCCGGCCTGGCAGGTAGCCCGGGATGGGTTAAGGGACAAGGAAAATGGGAGAGGCTGGGGTCGCCCATACCTGGATCTGGAGTCGTGGGGGAGGGGCCTGAGAGCGATGAGGTGGGGGTGGGGAGGGAACTAGAGGGATGATGGGAAAGGAACGTGTTAATGGGGAAAGAAGGGCTGGGTTAGGATGGTGAGGAAACGGGTGGAGGGGACCTGGTGGTTGGCGGAGGCACTGAAGGGAATTGGAAGGAAGACTGGGCTATGAGGAGAAGGGGAAGCTGAGGAGAATGGAAGAAAAGGGGGGGGGAGGGTCTAGTATTGTGGGGGAGGGGAGGTTGGGATGACTGGAAGAAGACAGGGATAGCGTCATGTAGAGTGAGGACTATCCCTGGCCGAAAGGGGTCAGTGAATATTAGCTTTTTCTTCCTTAGTGGAAGAGGGAAAATGGAGGGCTGTTGGGGTGGATCTTGGTGCGGTGGGAGAAGGAAAAAGGAGAAAACTGCAAAGCTCTCAGGAGATCAAGAAGGGCCAGAAATGGGGAGTGAACATTGCAAGAGACCAGGGAGGGGGGTATGTACATGAAGGGAATGGAAGAAGCTTGAGAATGCAGCAATGATGAAGGATCCAGGAGACCCAGAGATAAGCGGGGACCCTGAGATGGTGGGGGCTTTTCTCCATGAGTTTGAGTTGTCCTTGTGAAGAAGCTACGATTCTGTCCACCTTTGGATGGAATTGCTTCTCTCTTCCCCTGTGAATTCTTTACTTTACCTTGACATAGTTGAAGGGGGGAGTAGAAGCTATGAGGGAAAATGAAAGACTCGAATTCCTAAACCCTTCAACCTCCTATCTCCCCGCAAGCCCAGATCCAAGATCTTTTGGATTGAGGACAGGAATAATGAAGTGAGAGTGGTTTCCTGCTGGGGCTATTTCAGGTTTGGCAGGCTGGCTATTTAAAGCATGGGTTGGGGGGTTGAGGGAGGTTGAAGGGGGAGGGGGGTGGCAAGCCAGCTGAAAGCCATGTCTCTTTCTTTTGAGGGGCCTCCCTTGCTTTTTCTGTGTCTGAGGTTCTGTCAGACTCTTTCCTCTGCCAGGGCTTCTTGAACAGGGAGCAGATGATCCACTCAAACCCAGCAGGTGCCTGCCAGCGAAGGCAATACCAGTTGGAGGAGCATTTGTCTGACAGAGCCTTCAAGTGTACCCATTATCTCTAGGTTGGCAGGTCATGCCTGGGTCTATTTATTGTCCTGCCCTAGGGCGGTTTTTTTTGTTTCCTTTTTCTCTCTCTTTTTTTTTTTTAAGATTTATGAGAGAGAGAGTGTGAGCATGAGTGGAGGGGCAGAGGGAGAGGGAGAAACAGACTCCCTGCTGAGTGGAGAGCCCACTCTCTATCCCAGGACCCCGAGATCATGACCTGAGCCAAAGGCAGATGCTTAACTGACTGAGCCACCCAGGCGCCCCTCCTTTCTCTTTTCTAATGCACCCCTACCCCATCCCCATTTCAGGGATCCAAGTGGGAAAAGAGCTGCTAAAATAGCTTGTTTATCCTTACAATAGCAGGGTTGGGGAAGTAGTAGGAGGGGAAAACCCCTCCTCTTCACTCCCACCCCCTCAGTCCCCAGCAGACACATACCTTTCTGGCTTGAGTTCCTAGTCTTGGCAGGATACCAGGCACAGCTGTCAAAGGAACTCCGAGTGCCTGTGGGGGGCCCTGGATGACCCTGATGACAACAGCTCAGCTTGACAGGAGCTCCCTATGAGGGGCTAACCATCCACGGATGTCCCTGCCCTGAATCAATCCCACCCTGTCCTGGATAGGGGGACTGTTTCACTCTAAAGGCCTAAAAGCTTTTCTGCTTTGAAGCACCAATGCCAGCTTTCAATGGACCGATTGGGGTTGGCTGGGCTATTAATAGTCCTGAGTATTTTGAGATCCCTTTCCCCACCTTAAAGAGCAGAGATTCTTAGAGAGGTGGCAGTAAGCGGAGCAGAGCCGGAGAGACAAGAGAATGCACTGCCTTGGGAAGGAGGATGGGGGAGGGGGGGAGCGGGGGAGCACTTGGAGCTTGTGCCAGGCCAGGGACGCGATGGGGCCTCCATGAGTAAATGAGGATGACCATGCCAAGCCCTTGATCAGCAGATTCAGAGCTGTCAGTCAGGTCAGAGCGGCCCCACCCTTTGCTGTTGGAGAACACGGGGCCAGGGCAAACTCCCTGACCTCTGCCTCTCCCCTGGGCCACGGCCAGCCACCTGAACTTTGGAGGGGTGGTGTGGGAGGGCCACCAGGGTGACACTTGGAGTCACGGGCTGGTCCTGGGCAGAGTCACGGTGAGCCAGACAAAGGCCTTGCCTGAGGAGCCCGTGGCCCTAACTTGTGTGCAGGTAGCAGAGGCAGCAGGCCGTGCCGGGGGGGCATGTGGCTGTGACCAGTGACCCAGGGGATGTTACGGTGGACAGTGCACCTGGAGGGCGGGCCCCGCAGGGTGAACCATGCTGCAGTGGCTGTTGGGCACCGGGTGTACTCCTTCGGGGGTTACTGCTCTGGTGAAGACTATGAAACGCTGCGTCAGATTGATGTGCACATCTTCAATGCAGGTGAGCCAGTGCTGGGGCCGTCCCTGGGTACCCACGTCAGGGAGGGCAACGGGTAGCTGAATGAGGTTTGGCGGTGGTCCCCGTGGCCAGAGGGGATGGGGGAATGAGTATCTGATTTGGGAAACGGTGAGCAGCCTGGAGGGAGCTTTCCAGGGCTGAGCAGATCTGTGCCCACAGTGTCCTTGCGTTGGACAAAGCTGCCCCCAGTGAGGCCCTCCATCCGTGGGCAGGCTCCTGTGGTACCCTACATGCGGTATGGACACTCGACCGTCCTCATCGACGACACGGTCTTCCTTTGGGGCGGGCGGAATGACACCGAAGGGGCCTGCAATGTGCTTTATGCCTTTGATGTCAGTGAGTATGGGTCGCAGAGAAGCTGTATTCTGCCAAATGATGCCTCAGGGATGGGGGCGGGGAAAGGTGTGGGCTGAGGCGGCTGGGAATAGGGCACCCCAGAGTCTAGGAGGGGGCGTCAGAGGTTGCTTACCTGGCCCATCTGCTGCTGTCTTTCAGATGCTCATAAGTGGTCCACACCCCGAGTGTCAGGAACAGTTCCTGGAGCCCGGGACGGACATTCAGCTTGTGTCCTGGGCAAGACCATGTACATTTTCGGGGGCTATGAGCAGCTGGTATGTCTGGGAGAAAAGTAGCGGTTTAGGGTGGGAATGAGAAAGAGAAAGGGAAATTGAGGGTGGTGCAATAGGAGGCTTTGACTTGTTCGCAGGTTTTGAGGGGACAAGTGGAGGGTCAGAGTGCCACTGATCCCATGTTTTATTCCTTTCTTCACTTCCTTTCTCTTCCCACTCAGGCGGACTGCTTTTCCAATGACATTCACAAGCTGGATACCAGCACCATGACATGGACCCTTATCTGTACAAAGGTCTGCCCTTTCTTCTTTCTCCCAGATCCTTACCCTCAGTTGAAGAAATCATAGGAAGCTGAGTGAGAGCAGATCCCCTCCTAGCCGCCATGTTGACCCCCTTCCTCTCATCTCTCTGCTCCTGCCCAGGGCAACCCTGCACGCTGGAGGGACTTCCACTCGGCTACAATGCTGGGCAGTCACATGTATGTCTTTGGGGGCCGTGCCGACCGCTTTGGGCCATTCCATTCCAACAACGAGATTTACTGCAACCGCATCCGTGTCTTTGACACCAGGACTGAGGCCTGGCTGGACTGTCCACCCACTCCGGTGCTGCCCGAGGGCCGCCGGAGCCACTCAGCCTGTGAGTGTCTGTTTGTCCCTGTGGGGCCCCCCTTTCTCCCCATTGTCCTCACACTCCACGTTCCTCTCTCCTTCCAGTTGGCTACAATGGGGAGCTGTACATCTTCGGTGGCTATAATGCAAGGCTGAACCGGCACTTCCATGACCTCTGGAAGTTTAACCCTGGTACAGAGCACTGCCTTTAGGGGGAAAACAAGGAGCAATTGATGGAGGAGGGGAAAAAAATCCTAAGAGGATGGGGGTGGAGAGGATATCTGGACTGGGCAGGTATTAAACCTCCATATACACTTCTCTTCAGTGTCCTTTACCTGGAAGAAGATTGAACCGAAGGGGAAGGGGCCATGTCCCCGCCGGCGCCAGTGCTGCTGTATTGTTGGTGACAAGATTGTTCTCTTTGGGGGTACCAGGTTAGGAGGAAAGCGGGGAGGCCTCAAGGAAGGGCCCAAGTCTGTAACTGCATGGGAGGCATTTGAGCAAGAGGGTCTCATGGGTAGTCTTTCCTCTTTGCTTCATCTCTTTTTTGATCCCTACAGTCCATCTCCTGAGGAAGGTCTGGGAGATGAATTTGACCTCATAGATCATTCTGACTTACACATTTTGGACTTTAGTAAGTACATGTATTCCCAGAGTGCTACTGCCACAGGGTCCCTGGCTTTGGGTGATGACATTCAGGACTGGACCCTTTCCTTGCCTCTGACCATCTCCCTCTCCGTGACTTCTCCTTTCAAGGCCCTAGTCTGAAGACTCTTTGTAAACTGGCCGTGATTCAGTATAACCTGGACCAGTCCTGTTTGCCCCATGACATCAGGTACAGTGAGTGGTTGGAGAGCAGGGCTTGGCTGAGGGTGAGTGGGCAGCACAGGCATGATCTGATGAGCTTGGTCTCAGTATAGAGGGGACAGGGGTTTTTGTTACGCTGGAGATGTAGTGTACTTGTGGAGAGTGAAAGGGAAGGAGATTCAATTCCGCCCCAATTATCAGTGGTAAATTATATGGGGGAAAAAAATATCTGGTGTTTCAAACCAAGCTCAGAAGCATCACTTCTTGAGTCCCGAGCCTATTCGGTTGTTTTTAGCATGCTGAGAAAGTTTGATTAAATTTTCAAAGTTAGCTGCGAAGTACCAACAAGTTTAGGAATCTTTGGATCACATTAGTTCCAGAATTAAGGGAGGTCCTTCTAGCTACTTCCTTTGAATTCCATTCTTAGGTCCAAATCAAGCACCAAAAGTTATTTGGTGTACAGTTGTGTTTTCCTGGGTCATTCTGGACACTTCCCTCTCCTTGTATCAGTTCAGTTTAACTCTTACTTGCTGAGAGGGTGTGTGTTCAGCATCTGGTGACACAGTGTACAAGGCATAAGGAGGTACTTGGTAAATCTTTGTAGAATGATAGAATTGTCAAAAAGAGGGGAAAAAAGGGATTTAATTTTTATGTGGTGGGAGGGGCAGGGAAGGCTTCTGGAAGCCTAGGAGAGCTGAGTCAGGCCCTTTAAAGGGATAGGAGTGGAGAGCAAAAACAGACATTCCTGGTTGGATCTGAGCAGAGGATGAAAGGTGGGTTGGTAAGTTTACTGAGCTGTGTGTACACAGATGATTTTTTCCAGGTGTTGGGCACAAGCATACATAAACATAGACAGGAAGTCCACATGAGGTTGCAGGTGGAGGAGTGGGTGATGCTGGATTTGGTGGTGGGTGGGGCCTGATTGTTAAACTCACTAGTAAGGCCCTAAGGAAGGAGGTGGCTGTGGGTGGTTGAGCTTTCAGATGTTGAAGGGACTGGTGTGTTCATAGCTTTGTTTGAGCAATTCTGGAGGCTCCCCCCCATCTGTCCTTTCTGCCTGTCATTGTTGGCCTTCCAGGTGGGAGCTGAATGCCATGACCACCAACAGCAATATCAGTCGCCCCATCGTCTCCTCCCATGGGTAGGAGAAAGTTGCTGCCGCCTCCCTTTCCTGAGCCTGCTATTCTCTTCACTGCCCCTTCCCATCCCTCACCTGCCTGCCCCTTTGGACCCTGGACTCGGTATACCTCTGCGTGGAGTTGTTGGACTAGAGGTGTTTCCTGTGCTGTGAACTCAGTGGGGAGCTGTAGGGGGGAGGGCGAGATCCCTCCCTCCCTTGGGCCGAGGGCCCCTTCCCCTTGGTGCTCTGTCCCATACACCTCCTTCCAACTGCTCCTGGGCTTCTGCTCTGCCCCAGGCCAGCCAGGCTCTGCTGGGAAGCGAAGGAAATGGGGAGAAGGGAGAAGCAAGCAGTGTTTGAGCCTCAGGAGCTTCCCCCCCGACCCTTGTTTCCACCCTCTCCCCTGCTTGAGCCATGAGCATCGATTGAGAGCTGAGAGGAGTTGCAGCTGTTGCCATGAAACCTCCTTCTCCCTGACCTGGGGAGGCGAGGACCAGCAGATAATCCCACCCTTCCCTGAGCTGTTGCTGTTCCCTGGCGCTCCCAACCAGCTCAGATTTTATAAAAATGAATTAAAAATCTCCAACAAACGTGTGACCTGTTTTTGTGCAATACGATGGGGGTGGATGGCAGAAGCTTGCAGAGGGGCAAGGTGCTGAGGTTCTGGCCTCCGCCAGGAGCAAAAGGAATCCAAAACCCACCAAGGCCCGGCCCTAGTTTCTCTTGAGCGCGGAGTCCAGCGCCATGCGACAAAAAGGTGGCGACCTTACCTCCAGTGGGCGCCCGCGGGCCCGGCCCTTTCAACGACCGAGTTGCGCAGACGCGGCCTCCGGGTGAGGCCGGAAGAGGCGGGGCGAGAACCGCTAGGGCGGAAGTAGTGCCTTTCGGTGCCGGGGCGTTCCATAAGCCGATGCCGAGAGAGAGTTCCCGCGCCGCGGCGGCCGCCGGGTCTACCCGCGGGACCCGGGGCGGCGGGGAGGACGCCGGGGGCCTGCGGCAGGGTGAGGGCCTGGTGCCGGGCAGAGGGGCACGGGTAGAAGGGCAGGTGGCGGCGCAGTCACCGTGAGAGGTCTGAAGAGGCCACCGTGGGGAGCGCCGCCGACGCATTGGACAGTGAGGGGGCGCTTCCTGGGTTAGGAGATCTTGGGCGGTTTCTGAAAAGGAGGATGAGGGTTTTCCGCAGGGAGAAAACGCATGTGTAAAAGTACAGTCAATCAGGAGAGGCATGGGTTGCTGGGGAAGGGTTAGTAGGTCAGGGTTCGCCAATTTCAGAAACATTTGTTGAACATCTACTGTGTGCAGGCTGTTTTAAATGCCGTTTTAGCTGCTGTAGTTACAGCGGTGAATAAAACCATCAAAAACTCCTGTTCCTGGGGCGCCTGGCTGGCTCAGTGGCCAGAGCATGATCTCGGAGTTGTCAGTTCAAGCTCCGCATTGGGTGTAGCGATTACTTAAAATCTTAAATCCTGTTCACATACCTTTCAGAAAGGGTGAGCAAAAAAAAAAAAAAAAAGTAAATAGCATAAAAGGCAACAGAGCATGAGATTGTGTGTTTTTAAGGGTGAATTCTATGACATGTGAATTATATCTCAGTTTTTCAAAAAGTTTATAAGGGCTATGGAGAGAAAGCAAGGGAGGGGTTGCAATTTTAAGTAGTCAGAGAAGGCCTCACAGAGAAGATGACATTTGAGCAACAGTTTGAAGGAGCTGAGGGAGCAAGCACTAAATATATCTGGAGAAAGCTTCCAAGCAGAGGCTATATCAAATACAAAGGAACTGAAGCAGGAACATAGACCTTTTTGCTCAGGAACTGCTAGGAGACCAGTTGACTGGAGAGGAGTGGGAAGGACATGAAATTAGAGATCACATGGGGTCTTTCAAAGCATTATAAGGCCTGTAGCTTTTACTCTGATCAAGAGGAAGCTATTGAGGAGTTTTGAGTTCCGGAGCAATGTGATCTGAAGCATATATATATGGGAAAGAGATGGGAGTGATGAGATCAGCTTTGCATTTTATTTTTTTAATGATTTTATTTATTTACTTGACAGAGAGAGACACAGCGAGAGAGGGAACACAAGCAGGGGGAGTGGGAGAGGGAGAAGCAGGCTTCCCACCGAACGGGGAGCCCGATGTGGGGCTCGATCCCAGGACCCTGGGATCATGACCTGAGCCGAAGGGAGACACTCAACGACTGAGCCACCCGGGCGCCCCTCCGCTTTGCATTTTAGATGCCTCTGTCAAACCTGAATTGGGAAGCCTAGCTTCGGGAGGAGACAGAGGTTGGGAGACCAGTTAGCAGGCTAGAGCACTGGGTAAGGTGAGAGGTGCTGAGAGTATGAAGCAGAGCACTGGCAGTGGTCACTGAGCAAGGGAAACATGCCCTGTGGGGAAGCCTGTGGAGGCATGATTCAAAAGAGAAGATGACTGTGGCTTGGCCCACCTCCAGCCTTACAGCCCTTAGCCAGGTGAGGCCTCAGGTGGCTGGAGTGGTTGGGAAGTTAGGTGTCAGTGGAGCACCATTATGACCTGTGCTGCCTGGGGCCTGTGGTGATGGGTCTGACGGGGATATTGGAAAGGGTCAGTTACCTAAGGAATGAGGGTGGGATGGGGTCTCTGCAGCACTGGGAGATGCTTTGCTGAGTTGTGTCCCCACCCTTCCTTCCACAGACACATCTAACATGTCATTTGAAGAGCTGTTGGAGTTGCAGAGCCAAGTGGGGACTAAGACATACAAACAGTTGGCAGCTGGAAACAGTTCTAAGAAGCAAGGTTCTAGACCACGTGTCCAAAATGCATGTGCTGCAGATAAGCACAGGTGAGGAGCAGGGCCTGCTCCAGGAACTGGAGAATACCTGGGACCTTGGGTAGGTGTCTGAATTCTTAGGTGGGAGGCCTTTGATCATGTTTGGAGACCCTGGGGCGCCTCTGTGGCTTGGTAGAGCATGTGACTCTTGATCTCAGGGTTGTGAATTCGAGCCCCACATTGGGTGTAGAGATTACTTAAAAATAAAATCTAGAGGGCGCCTGGGTGGCTCAGTTGGTTAAGCGTCTGCCTTCGGCTCAGGTCATGATCCCAGGGTCCTGGGATCGAGTCCCACATTGGGCTCTCTGCTCGGCGGGGAGCCTGCTTCCTCTCCCCCGCTTGGGCTCTCTCTCTCACTCTCTCAGTTGTGAATTCGAGCCCCACATTGGGTGTAGAGATTACTTAAAAATAAAATCTAGAGGGGTGTCTGGGTGGCTCAGTTGGTTAAGCGTCTGCCTTCGGCTCAGGTCATGATCCCAGTTCCCTGGGATCGAGTCCCACATTGGGCTCTCTGCTCGGCGGGGAGCCTGCTTCCTCTCCCCCGCTTGGGCTCTCTCTCTCACTCTCTCAAATACATAAATAAAAGCTTAACAAAAAAATAAAATCTAGGGCACCTGGGTGGTTCAGTCAGTTAAATGCCCAACTCTTGATTTTGGCCTGGGTCATGATCTCTGGGATGTAAGATCGAGCCCTGCATCGGGCTCTCACACTGGGCGTAGAGCCTGCTTGAGATCTTCTCCCTCTCCCTGTAGCTCTCCCCTGCTCATGCACATTCTCTCTCTGTCTCTCTCTCTCTCTCAAAAAGGAAAGAAATTAAATCTTAAAATAAAAAAGACTGGAGACCCTAGACATGTTCTTTAATTTCTCCGTAGGCCTCTGGAAATGTCAGCCAAGGTCCGGGTGCCATTTTTGCGTCAAGTTGTCCCCATCAGTAAGAAGGTGAGGAAAAGGCGGGAAGAAGTGTCTCAGGGGAGACTGAACAGTTCTTTTATACTCTCTCATTCTCTCCAAAGGTAGCCCGGGACCCCCGCTTTGACGATCTGTCAGGGGAATATAATCCTGAGGTGTTTGACAAAACGTATGAATTCCTGAATGACATCCGAGCCAAAGAGAAAGAGGTTTGGAACATGAGACTGGCTCATGGGGATTCCGAGGGGTGGGAAACTAGGGAACAGGTTAGTCAGGCAGAGGGGAACAGGGAGCATAGTGGTGGGCAGATTTATTTCTCCTTAACTGATTTAACTCTCCCTAATTTGCTTCCTATTTTCAAATCCTGGTTCATTAGTTGACTAGCTGTGTGACCATTGGCAGGTTCCTTAACTTTGCAGTTTTCTGATCATAAAAAGAGGTAATAGTAATGCATATCTCAGAGCGTTATTTGCATTAACATGTGTGAACCTCTTAGAATAATGCTTGGCACAGAATTGCAGTTAACATGTACAGACTCCTAACCATCGTATTCATTTTGCACTGTGGAGCTGGTGAAAAAGCAGTTGAAGAAGCACCGTTCGGGGCAGGAGCATGAGAAACTGCAGCAGCTGCTTCAGAGGATGGTGAGTGGGTCAGAACTGCAGGTGGGTGGTGAGAACAGTTCAAGGCAGTCAGGAGGTGATTCTCAGTCCCTCCTGCCCACCCATCTCACCCACCTCCTCTTGGCTTCTCAGGAGCAGCAAGAAATGGCACAGCAGGAACGCAGGCGGCAACAGGAGCTGCGCCTGGCCCTGAAGCAGGAGCAGAGGGCTCGGGCCCAGCAGGGCCATCGGCCATACTTCCTGAAGAAATGTGAGTGGGACACAGCTGTCTCAGGCTGCTTACAGGGACGGGCTTGGGTGGCCATGGAGGCAGCATGCCGTGTCAGGGGTCCATGAGCTCCCTGAGGGAGGCAAGAAGGCTGGATGCCATGGGAAGTTGGAAGAAAGTAGAAATGGTAGGGAGGAGTTATTTGTAACTATTCTCCTATCCCTAAGTATAGATTACGAGCAAGGAGTGTTGCTTTTATCTCTCTCCTGCCTCCCCTCCATATGCTGCGCCGGGCATATAGAAGGAGCTCACAGTTGGTGTAATAGAGAAAGCAGCGGGTCATAGAAAAAGTCCACGTGCTGCACTTGCCAGTGAACTCCCAAGTCATGTATCCCAGCGTAGTGGTTGAGAGGTACAGACCTGGGGAAAGGGGAGAGTGCCTCCTCCTTTGCTCACCAGCCTTTTTTCTCTCTGCCCTCTAGCTGAGCAGCGCCAGTTGGTCCTAGCTGAGAAGTTCAAGGAGCTAAAACGCAGCAAGAAGCTAGAGAGCTTTTTGAGTCGAAAGAGGCGCCGAAATGCAGGCAAGGACCGGAGACATCTCCCCTTGAGCAAAGAGTAAGGAACTGTCCTGAGCTCTGCCACTGCCCCAGTGGGAAATGGATCTGTGGGGACAGACTTGGGCTTGGCCTGTTCTGGTTCTTTTCCGTTCAAGGGCAAGGATCATAGCTGCCCTTGAGCTAGCTTGGCTCAAAGACGACTAGAGGGCTCTTGGACTGCCCCAGCATTGGAGAAGAAGAGCAGCTCAAACTTGTGCTATGCCACGCTTCCTCCGCTTGGATCTGGTTCATCATGTCCTCATGTCCTCCCATCCTTGCTTTAAACCAGTGGTTGTGGTATAGAAGAGAAAGGGCCAGTGAGTGGTCTTAAGGCTGGTGAAGGCCATGAAGTCTGTGGATGGCTCCTCGGGCTGGGACTTTATGTGAGAGTCAATTCATAAACATTCCTGTCACTCTTCTTTTTTTTTCTGCTTTTTTGGTGGGCTTTGTGAGTGGCCTAGAACTACTGTTTCAGCGGGCCACTTGTGGGGGCTGGCAGCAAACATAAGGCTCCCACAAAGAAGGAAGTCAGATCAGAGACTCCTCCTACTTAAACCTCAGAGAAGACACAGTCATTGGAGGAGTGAACCACTCCCACAACTGACCTACTTAGCTTTGGTTCTGGATACAAGGGGAGGTAGGGGGTGAGAACAAAAAGTTTCCCCGGAATGTGTAAACACAGCTGGCTCTTAGTACTGTTTGGGTCTAGAGTTCAGATTACCTGTGTAGACTGGAAAATCCTCAAGCTAATAATTCAGTTTGAAGTGGTCTCAGGTTGGTAGTGCTCCCAGGCACCTGGCAGAAGCAAATGTAATCTTCTCTTGAGGTTTGTACTTTAAACCCCAGCCTCAGGGAATTCCTTCAGATAAAATTTGAAGGAATGTGTGCTTTTGGTGAAAATACAAAGCACACAATGAAAGAAATCACCATGAGTAAGAGTCATTAGGGACAATAGACAACAGAATCAGACCAGCAAAGACATGTTAGAAACATAAAATACAAAACCAGGGGTGCTTGGGTGGCTCAGTAGATTAAACGTCGGACTCTTGATTTTGGCTCAGGTCATGATCTCAGGGTCGTGGGATTGAGCCCTGTGTCCTGGTCCTCATTCAGCAGGGAGTCTGCTGGAGAATCTCTCCCTCTCTCTCTGCCCCTTCCTCTCTCTCTTTCTCTATAAAATAAATAAGTAAATTTAAAAAAAAAATACAAAATATAAAATACCTTATATTTAAAGAAAAAGTATGACTAAAGAAAAGAGTATCTAAAAGGACCAAATTGGTTTGATAAAAAAGTATAGCTTTTAGAAATTAACAATAGACTATTTGAAGTTAGAAACGTCATGGTTAAACAACAAATTAGACCTACCTAAAAAGAGAATGTACTACAAGTAGATCTGAAGGTGCACAGGTGGAGCACAGGGATACAGAGAAATGGAAACTAAGGAAAAGAGGTTAAAAAACATGGAGAAAACAAAACATGGAAGGTAGATTGAGACATATAATCAAGATTCCAGAGGAGAGAATATTTTAAAGAGGCTGGGTATTTTGCAAGATTGAAATTTATAAACCCTAAGCCTCAGAAAGCCCAGTTAATTCTCATTGGGCTTGATGGCTGGCTTAGTCGGTAGATTGTGCAACTCTTGATCTCAGGGTTGTGAGTTCGAGCCCCACATTGGGCATAGAGATTTTTCTTTTTTAATTGATAAATCATAAGAAATTGCAGAACAGGGTGCCTGGGTGGCTCAGTTGGTTAGGCGACTGCCTTCGGCTCAGGTCATGATCCTGGAGTCCCTGGATCGAGTCCCGCATCAGGCTCCCTGCTCGGCAGGGAGTCTGCTTCTCCCTCTGACCCTCCCCCCTCTCGTGTGCTCTCTCATTCTCTCTCTCTCAAATAAATAAAATCTTTAAAAAAAAAAAAAAATTAAAAAAAAAGAAATTACAGAACATCTGAAAGACATCTAAAAAGCAGCTATCAGAAAAAGGAAGAATTAGAAGCTAGGATATCTAATGTTTGATGCATCTGGGATGGGGGAAAAGATGTAACTGTGATGACTGAAATGTGAGATAAGCGTAAAATGTTTGTTTCCCAGTGACTGTAAGCCGAGGAGTGAAGCTACCAGGATACTTTGCCTTGCCCAGAGGGATCCAGTGCTATGGGGTCCCTGATGTCACATGTGTCAATCCTACTTTAGAGCCAAAGAACAGATTCTGGCTGATAAAAGCAGAAAAAGACTATTGAACTCTTAGGCTCACAGAAACACTAAGGCTTGAGAAAAGTTTTTTTTTTTTTTTTTAAGATTTTATTTATTTATTTGACAGAAAGAGACACAGTGAGAGAGGGAACACAAGCAGACAGAGGGAGAGGGAGAAGCAGGCTTCCTGCAGGAGCAGGGAGCCCGATACGGGGCTCGATCCAGGACCCTGAGATCATGACCTGAGCCGAAGGCAGACATTTAATGACTGAGCCACCCAGGCACCCCAAGCCTTGAGAAAAGTTTAAAAAAAAAAAAAAAGAATGGTGGTTGGCAGATAAGTCTGAGCCCTTACAAGCACCCTAAATCGTACCTGGGAACCAGAGTGTGGTGAAGATCTCCTGGCTGCCACCAGAGGTATTTCGCTTTTCCTTCCTGCTTTGCTGTAGATTGAGAAATTCCTGGCAGAGGCATTTTCTTGGCTAAGCCGTGGTTATATGGCTGCAGGGGGATAGCTGGGAAAGCCAAGTATCTGGTCCTGTATGTGGTGGGAGGTGGGCTCTGTTTCCTTTCGTGATTTGTGTGGAGTTCCCGAGTATGAAAAGGGGCTTCAGATGAACGGTAGTCAAAACACGATGCACGTCCACCACTGGGTTGTATTGCCGCCCCCATCCCCAGGCCTTCAGATGGCCACTTTTCCCCTTCACCAAGGATCCATGGGAGACATTGGAGAGCTCGGAGCTTTAGCTACGGGTTAGTTGGTCTGCTTGTTTCTGGTTTTTATTGGCAACATACTGAGATATAATTTAGTTTACCCATTTAAATTGTACAATTCGGGGGCGCCTGGGTGGCTCAGTCGTTAAGCGTCTGCGTTCGGCTCAGGTCATGATCCCAGAGTCCTGGGATTGACTCCCGCATTCGGCTCCTTGCTCCATGGGAAACCTGCTTCTCCCTCTCCCACTCCCCCTGCTTGTGTTCCCTCTCTCGCTATGTCTCTCTCTGTCAAATAAATAAAATCTTTAAAAAAAATTTTTTGAAAAAAAATGGTACAATTCAATGGTTTTTAGTCTATTCACAGAGTAGTGCAACCATCACAATTTTGTAACATTTTCGAGTGTCTAGCAGACACTCCCCATTTCTTCCCAATCTCCCCAGCCCTAGGCAGCCACTAAACCACTTTGTCTCTAGATTTGCCTATTTTAGAACATTCCCTGTAAGTGGAATCAATATGCGATCCTTTGTGTACAGCCAGCTGTCTGGGATATAAGGAACCGAGGCTGCGAGGAGGGTCTCACAAGGGGGGCAGGGGAGCGAACTTCTGTCCGAGTCAGACAGGAAGCGTGTGCCCTGGATGGATGGCAAGTCCTGAGGGCAGGGGAGGAGGCTCACGTTTTCACTGGTGCTGGTGAGGGGGTAGTCGGGACTGCTCACCTGGGTGGCTGCGTTTGGACAAATCAGGCCAGAGTGGAGGTGGGGTTACATTGTGTGCTGAGGGCACAGGAGCTGGACTGCAGGCAGGAACATGCAGGGAACTGGGGCCAAGGCTGGTGTGTTCTTTCCGTGAGAATTTGCAAGAGACTCGTCCGTTACAGATAAGCAGGTAGGCACCCTGTGGGAGGCTGAGGGGTTGAGCCTATAGCACGGCCCATGCGGCAGCCTGTGGGCACAGCTGCAGTGCAGGGGGGCAAAGTCCCCTCCTGTCCCCTCCATGTGCTGCATTCTGATCTGGCTACTAGAGCTTGGAGCCTCTCTGGGTTTCTGATGGAGAAGGATAGGCTCAGAAAGAGCATGAGAACCCAGAAGAGGGCAAAAAGTTCTGGCTCGTAAGAGCTAGCTCAAGAATAAGGGCACGGCCTGGGCCCATAAAGGAGCTAGGCCGTGATCTCTGACACGAAGGCGGAGAGGCACCTAAGTGACAAACTGCAACAACCCCGTGTGCCCTGGGGCCCAGTGCTGCCCTGGCCTGCTGCCAGTCTTCTGTGTCGTGGACTAGCGTGGACCTACCAGATAGTTCTGCTCTGGGAACCACCCACAGCACCATGGGGCCACCATACTGCAAAGTAAAGCATGCATGGGCCCTCGGTGGCTGCCCTGTTTGCCCTCCGTTTTGCTGTCTTGTCCTGGGCGTCCTGACTCTCCCAAGCCCTGGCCTTTTTCCCTTACAGATTCTATTCCAAATCTCTGTCTTGGGTGGCACCCAGTTCCCTCTGTCTGGCTTCTGTGCCCTCTCTCACCACGTGACTCCCTCATTCCTCCCCCACCTTTCTTCTGTAGCCTTCTCCTAGTCATCTCTTGGCTGCAAGAACCTTGGACTCAGGATGCCTGTGTCACTTCTTCCTGACCCCCGTAATAGCGCCTGCGAGATGCAGAGCTCCTCCCCTGGCACTGGGTCCCCCAGCCCGCCCCGCCCTGCCTCAGTGTGGGCGGGGCCAGGGGAGGCAGTCAGCAGCATGGAGCAAGCCTCCCCAACAGTGGCCCACCTATGGTGCTAGTGGGTTCTGGCTTTGGCAAGAGCAGCTCTACACGACCCGAAGAGCGCAGCGAGGAGGGGCTCAAGGGAGCTGCAGTTCCTTCTAGGTCTGCTTCCAACCCAGATCCTAAAGCTTTGGGATGGAATGCATATTCAGGCTCCTGGGTGCCTGCAGTGGCCACCAGGGTCCTTTATCTTACCATGCATTACACTCACTGCTGGGTGCGGTGGCCAAAAGAGTGATTCACTGGCACGTCAAATGCTCCCATACCTGGTGCTCGTCAGAACCCACGGGGACTCTGGTCCAATTCCACAAATGAAAATGGTGGAGCCCTGCTTAACAATCTGCCCAAGTTACAAGCCACTGAGCGTGCGGCAAGGGGGACTTGGGTCTCCAGCCTGCCAGGTGAAAGCACTTCTGACCACAGACTCTCTGAGAAGGGCTGGAGGTCCAGCCCTGTCTTGTCTACTTACTGCCCCACACACACCTGACTCCCTCCAGTGCTCTCCCCAGGCTGCCAACTTCACCCTGGCAGTGACTCCTGGCATGGGACGACGCGGCCTCAGAGCCAGAGGGCTCCGCTCCCTCTCCAGCCAGGAAGTCTCCGCTGCCCAGCAGAGCCTTAGCACTCACCACACAGGCCACGTAATCAAACTCCCGCACTTTATTTCTGTAGAAAGCACTGGTCCCATCTCCAGGGCTACCGGAAGGTGGAGAAGCTCTGGGTGCTGCTGCAGGAGGCGTAGGGCACGCCCCGAGAGCGGATCTGCAGGGTATGGAAGGTGAGGGGTGGGTTGGGGCCTGAAGAGCCTGGGTTCAGGGACTCGGTGTGAGGCTCCATCACCGTCACGGGGACCGCATAGGACAGTGTGTGGGGCCGGTCGTCATGGCGCCTCACGGTGCCCTGGCCCAGGAGGTGCAGGATACAGGAGAGGACATCGGTACTGTTGCAGGCAGACCCCCTACCGAGGCTGCTGACCAAACCCCGGGGAGGACATGGGCCCTTCTGCCAAGCGTCCAGGACCTGGGAAGGAGAGGGAAGGGGACACAGCAGGTGGCAGACACCCAGCTGACTCCACCTCGAGCTCCCACTCCGGGCACAGGCTGCCAGCCAGTGAGCTCTAAGGCCTTTAGGCGTGCCCCAGCCTCCCCCCTCATCCACCTACAGGCTCCACGGTGAGCCAGAGGCTTCCAAGGTGGACAGGCCTCCTCCTGTGGGCTGCCCCCGACCCCGAAGCGCCCTCCCCCCCCCCCACCCCCGCCTACCCGACAGACAAGCTGGTCGATGTGCAGCCCCTCGTCCCCATGTGCCTTGAGCATTCGGACAATGAGGCAGTTCAGAAGGTTCCGTCTCTTCTCCAAGTTCCGACCCTCTTCATCCTCAGCTTTCAGGTACGTCTGAGGTGGGATGAGCCACACGTTGCCCCTCCTTGGCCTGGGCTCCTCGCTGGCATCTCGAATCTTGAGCACCCCTGAAATAAGCACTAGTCACCAGTGGGGGGCCCACGAGGAGGCTGAGAGCAGAGGCCCCTCTCCCCAAGTACATACCTCCTGGGACACCCTTTTGCTCTTGAAGGTCCAGGGGGCCTCTCGAAGAGGTAAGAGGCCCAATCGCCTGATCGAGCATGTCTGGAGAGAGCCCAGAGAGTGCCAGCAGACTCTCCACGGAGACAGCCTTAGAGAAGACGAAGGAAATACTCAGGGCTTCCCCAAAGAGTGGAGCAGAGAAGGGAGAGGGAGGGAGGATAGGGAGTTGAGGTTTAGGGAAGAGGGGTGAGGGACAAGGTACAGAGAGCAGGGCTGCCTAGCTGGGCTGGGCCACCTTCAGCTCATTGAGATACAACAGCAACCACATCTGCACGGTGGACACATGCAGGGTCTGGTCCCCAAACTGCAGCTCAGCCCGGCCCAGCCACGTCCACTGCAGCCGCCGATGGGGTCCCATGTCCAGGGCCGGGTAGCTCTGACCTGAGACAGGTCAGGGAGAGAAGGGGTCAGGGCTGGTGAGGGGGGACTGTTGGTTGAGCCCTGCCCCTGCTAATCTCTGCCGAGCGTGCACCCCAGTGTTCATGGATCCTGTGCTTCCTGAACTTCCAGAGCTCAGCCTTCACCGTGCCCCTCTTGGGTAAGCCTCAGGTATCTGGCAGCCCACCCTGTGCCTCCCCTTGTGCCAGGGGACTCTGATCAGTGCCTTCCAGAAGTTCCCCTCCCTTTTTTTTTTCCTAGGGAGACAAAACCATGAAGTGAGGAAGGCCTGGGCTCTCATCAAACTGGACTATCCACGATGAAAGAGGGAATGAGGTCTCCCTGGTTAGTCTGGGAGCCCCCCAACCCCCCCTGAGGGCAGGGTCTGAGTCTCTTCTCCCTATGCTGCTGCCCAGCCCAGGACCAGCCCCCAGTGGGAAGCTCAGGGGCGATGACTGACCAGGAGCCAGACCCCTGCCACGGGGGGCGAGTCCTTCCTGGTGGCCTCAGGTGCCCCTGCTTCCATCCTCCCCACCTCCCACTCTCTAAATAGAGTCCTGTGTTTGTTTTTAGGACAGAAAAGGCAACAGTCTGGGGACCTGGTGCTTGATAGCCCCTGCCCTCACCCCAAACGTAAGCTCCTTTCTTCTCAAATCCACTCCACTGAGGCTCTCACCCCAGGGCCCACCCCACCCGCAGGCTCCCTCCCTGAATGCCATCCTCTTCCTGGCTCCTCACTCTTGCTGTAGAAGTTGGAGTAGCGGTTCAAAGTGCCCCTGAGGTAGGAGGGCAGGCAGGTTCGGGGGTTCAGCGTGTGGCGGATGGAGGCAATGGGCCAGCAGCGTGGGGACAGGACTAGCACGGACACTTCGGGCATGGCCCCCTCATAGTAGAGATCCTCATCTTCCTCCTCGTCCTCCTCCCCTGCCATGTCTGTGGCTGCTGCTGCCCCAGCTCCCTCTGCTTCCTCTGCCTTCTCCTCCTTGTGCTCCTTGTCACTGGCCTCGAGGCACCCCTGAGGAAGAAACACGGGGTGCCCGACAGCCGCTGGGCCTCCTCTGGTCTACTCCTCGCCTCCCTCCCTTCCCACCCTCCCTTGGCCAGCGCCCACGCCCACCTGTATCTTCTTCTCGGTGTCGTCCAGCTTCAGGAGTTCCTGATCGAGCCGCTGGAGCTGGTAGACGTGAAACTGGCGTTGCAGCTCCTCAGAGGTGCTCAGGCTGAGCAGCATCTGCTGGGGGAGGCGGTTGGGGAAGCAGAGGCCGATCTGCTCCAGCACAGCCCCCTCCAGCCAGCTCGAGCCCAAGCTCAGGAGACGGTCTGCCATGTAGTGCCTGCAGCACACGCAGAGCAGGGCCGAGCCTCAGTGCGGCGGCAGCTCGGCCCGGCCGCCCGAAGCCCGGACTCCCCGGGCCCGCGAGCTGGCGCCGGCCCTGCCCCCGCCTCTGCCATCCGTGCCCCCCCGCGCCCCCACCCCCCAGGTCCGCGCTCACTGGTAGTAATGCTCGAAGGTGGTGGCTATCTCCAGGCCGGAGAAGATGAGGACCGTCTCCAGGCAGCGCTGCAGCTGCCCCAGCATCTCCATCCCCCGGGCTCCGCCAATCCTGCTGCCCTGGATCCGCTGGTCGATGTGCCGGGCGAACTGCTCGCTCACCTGCGCACGGAGAAGGGCACAGGGAAACCACGGTCAGGCGACTGGAGGAGGGGAGCGGGGCAGAGAGGAAGGTCTGAGCAAGTGCATAGAACAGCTGAGCTGCTTCCCAAGGTGGGCGACACTTTTACAGAACTCTTTTATAAAACCGTCAACAGTTGTGCAAGTTAACAATTAGGAGGTAGTTTTTTTTTTAGAGATTTTATTTATTTATTTGACAGAGAGAGACACAGCGAGAGAGGAAACACAAGCAGGGGGAGTGGGAGAGGGAGAAGCAGGCTTCCCGCTGAGCAGGGAGCCCGATGCGGGGCTCCATCCCAGGACCCCGGGACCACGACCTGAGCCGAAGGCAGACGCTTAACGACTGAGCCACTCAGGCGCCCCAGGAGGTGTTTTTTTCACACTGAACGTTTCTAAAAATTAATCTAATCACAATAATTTAATGTGAGGAAATGATTTATGTGCACAGAGATGGTCCCACTGCAGTGTCACTGATCAGACGGAAGGGCCGGAAGCAACTCGAGCAGCCGCTGTTCAGCTCCCCCTGCAGCGCTTAGCCTGGCTGACTTTATCACCTGCCCAACCGTGCGCCTTCCCAGGAAGCCTGCAAACTTTGAGGAGAGGGACTTTGTCTATCTTCAGCTCTTATCACAGTGCCGGACACATTTGAAGCACTTATTACACATCTATGGAATGCTGGGAATGGTGGAGTAAATTCTAGTACACCCGTTAGATGGAATTCATACAAAAATAAAAAATAAGGACAAAGCAACACTGAAAAAGGCTTTTAAGGTAACAGTCAAGGGCGCCTGGGTGGCTCAGTCGTTAAGCGTCTGCCTTCGGCTCAGGTCATGATCCCAGGGTCCTGGGATCGAGCCCCACAACGGGCTCCCTGCTCAGCGGGGAGCCTGCTTCTCCCTCTCCCTCTGTCTGCCCCTCCCCCCCCACTCATGCGCTATCTCTATCTCAAATAAATAAAATCTTAAAATATGTATATATAATGGTCAAAAGACACCAGCATAAAGCATTTTAGCTACTTGTGGGTAAAGTGTTAAACCGTGCACACAAACAGAAAGAGCAAGTGTATCAAGATAGTATTAGGAGAGCACGCTGCAGGTCACTATCTGTGTCTTTGGTGTTTGAGCTTTCAAACACATGGTTCTACGCAAGCCCCGGCCGGCCCTTGCTGAATGGGCACGGAAGGGACGCCGCTGTGAGGAGCGGGGCACGGAGCGACTGCAGGGAGGGGCGCGGGCCAGAGGCGAGGCGGGAGGCTCACGTGGGCAGCTTTGAGGAACGGGAGCTTCAGCAGGCCCCCAGCACAGCCGTTGTGCAGGGCTAGCAAGAAGGCCGCCCTGGGCCCGAACAGCTCGGAGCTGGACTTCTGCAGGCTGTGAAAGTGTTCGCAGTAGCGCGGCACGAAGTCGTCATCCCGCCAGCGCGAGGTCAGGAAGCTGCTGGCCTGCAGGGAGGCAGCCGCGGCGTGAGGGCGCGGCCCCGCAGGCCGCCGGCCGCCCTCTCCTCCCCGGCACCTGCTCCTGCCCACCTGCTCCTCCACCACCGCCCGCCAACAGCGGGTCAGGTTTCTCACGATGCTGCTGGGAAGCCCCCGGGTGGCCAGGGAGCTCCAGTCGTGGCTGCGGTTTCTGCCCTCTGTGGAGACAGGGGAAGGGCCGGAGGCAGGGGCAGCCCTCAGCTTGGGGGTCCTCAGACCAGGGTGAGCCCTGGGGCCTTTCCTGACGTGCTGCCCGCCCCCTCCCCGCCGTGAGGCTCCTGGGTGGGGGTGACACAAACCGGGAAGATGAACAGCTGGGTGGGGCGGGAAAGCGTGAGACGGAAGGCTGTAGGGTGCGAGCGGGGGGCCGCAGAGAGACGCTTCTCACCGACCTCCCACCGGAACCGCAGGTACTCACTGGGCCGGGGAGCGGCCGCCGCTGGAGGGGGCGCCTCGCAGGGCTCCACGTGCACGAGCAGGTGGGTGAGGCGGCGCACCCGGGAGGAGAAAGCAGCCGCGCGGCTCTGGGGGTTGTGGGCCGCCTCCCGACACTCCAGGTACTGGTCCAGCAGCCAGCCCAGGGGGCTGATGCCATCCTCATCTGGAGGTGGGGAAAAACAAGCCAAGGCAGGGCGTGTCTCCAGGGCAGTGGGAGAGGCTGGGCTGGACAGAAGCACTGAGAATGAGGGATCGGACGGAAGGTACCGGGTGGCGGGGGTGGGGGCAGCTAGCAAGGCCCCTTTATGGTGTCAGCTGGGAGACATGGGAAAGGAGATGGCCCCTGGGCTGGGAGAAGAGGGGCACTGGGGTACCAAACCACTGCAGGTACCAAAAGGGCCAAGAACATAATGCAGGTGGCTCTACGGCAGAGCAAGAAGGGGCTGGTTAGTGGGGCCAAGGGTCAGGACGGTTACCGGGGGAGGTGATGTTCTGCACCAGGGGGCTGACCAAGGCCTCCCAGCAGGTCTTGCCCAGTGCTTGGGCGGCCTCGTCATCAGGGAGGAAGCGATCGGCAAAATTCTGCTCCTGGCGCAGAGCCCCATTGAGTCTGGGGGTGAGGATGGGGGAGGCAGGTGTCAGGGGCTTGAGGCGTAAGTTACCCCAGCATCTGCCCAGCCTAAGACGGCCCGGCTAGCCCCTACCAACCAGACCCAATCTCTACCCAGTACTTCGAAGCTCCCCTGCGTTAACTGGCACATCCCACCCCCCGCCCACCACAGAAATCTCTTCTTTCCATTCTTTCTTTCCTTCCCCAAACTGTAGAACACCCCAGCCGCCTCCCCAAGCATGTTAACCCTCCATCGAACCCTACCCAGGGTACTACTCTTACCTTTCACACACACACACAGCCACACACACATGCTCGCACACACCTAGAACTCAGGTGCAGGAGGCTCCGGCGGTCCTCTGCTATGTCCTGGCTCCAGGCCTGGGCCCGCACCATGTAGAAGAGGCGTGTGTGACGGCACAGCTGCTCCCGAAACACCGGCCAGAAGGTGGGCTTGGGGCCCAGGACCTCCAACCCCCGGATGCGCGTGTCGATGCCACCCTGCGAGGGACACAGGCCTGTCTTCAGCTGCCCCACGCCCCCCTCCGAGTGCACTGGGGTCAGGCACACCTTTGTGCCTTACTCCTGGAGCTGCCCTTGCCCTGGGCTGGAGCCCTGGCTCAACATCTGCAACAGGTACAGAACCCAGAACTCCATAGCCCTAAACCACACCCCAGGCCCCTGGCAAACCTGCTGGCAGCGCTTTATGCGGATCTGGATGATGGGCCAGAAGCGGTTCAGGTTCTCCAGGAGGACCACCCGGCTGGCGGAGGGCATCACGTTGACCTGGTGCGGGGCACAGGGGGCTGTCAGCTCCCCGTGTGTGGATGGCAGTGCTCACAGCACCCACACCTGCTCCTGTTCCCTCTTCCCTCAGCCCAGGCGGGTGTGGGGTCCTGACCAAGGGCTCCCAATGCCACCCTCACTGCTTGGGGCCTGACGTCGTCACAACGGCACAGGGAGAAAGGACTCTACTTTCTAGGGGGCTCCAGACGGGAAGAACTTAGGCGTTCAGGAGTCTGGGCAGGAGGGCGGGCCCTGTGAAGGCTGATCTAATGGCATGCGGGTCCCTACCGAGTTGAGTTGTGTGTTAAGAGAGCTGGCGCTGTCGCCCCCAAACACCACCACCCTGGCCGGCATGTAGCTCGAGTCTTCACCAGCCACCAGCAGAGTTAGCTGCCTGGGAGCAGGGATGAGGAAACCATCAGGACCGGAACGAGTCGTGTCCTTGGAGACACAGCCAAGGGGACTCTCTGGTCATGTGTGGGCTCGAGGGGGGCCGTGGTGCTTCCCCCAAGACAAACACGAGGAAGTCACGACAAAGTGCGTATGTCGTGGGGCGCGTTACCTGATGAGGATGCCCTGGCGCATGTGCAAGGTGATGTAGTGGGAGCCGGCGCTGCCGCTGGACTCCCAGTAGGTCTTGGGGTTGCGGTCGGTCAGCTT